TAATCAATTTTCGCAAGGTTTTGTAATTTACATATCCCAAACGGGCATGCCATAAATCATTTGACTCCAATAAGAAACAGAAGTAGAATTCTTATTAATACTGTCAATAACCATTACATTCAGTTTGAAGAGGCCCTCAGTGAGGTAGCCATTTCCTAAAAACATCTCATTCTTACTTATTACAGCTTTATCACTAACTAGGACACACTTAAGCCCGCTTAACGAGCAGTGCAACAGAAACTAATTTTTTCCTAATAGTAGGAACGTGCAGAACGTTGTTCAAAGTCAACACCTTGTCGGATGTCATTTTCAACATTACTTTCCCAGTTCCTGCAATCATTGTTGTTGTTGTGTTCCCCATGAACAAATATTCATCGAACTCAGTAGGAGTGTACATTGCAAAGGCTTATTTCGTAGAGCAAATATGTCGAGTGGCACCTGAGTCGAGAAACCACTCCTTGGGATTTCCAACTAAGTTGCACTCCGAGATCATTGCACAGAGGTCATATGCATCTTCCATATCTTTCACGATGTTTGCTTGACTTTTGCCTTTGTATTTGTCTTTGTCCTTTCTTGGAGCACGACAGTCAGAAGACTTGTGACCAGCCTTACCACAGTTGTAATAGTTTCCCTTGAATTTCTTCTTGGCCTGTTCTGAATTCTGCCCGTTGGACTTCTTTCTCTTCTTACCTTTGGTAGGAGCTTCTTCAACAATATTAGCTCCAATTATTATCGAACTCTTATAAGACTTCTTTTCGACGGTCTTGTTATCTTCCTCAATCTTGAGTCGAATCAAAAGATCTTTAAGCTTCATTTCCTTACGTTTGTGCTTTAGATAATTCTTGAAGTCGTTCCACGAAGGAGGTAATTTCTCAATCATTGCAGCCACTTGAAACGCTTCATTAACTACCATGTTCTCAGCAATCAGATCATGAAAAATAAGTTGAAGTTCCTGCACTTGTGATCCAACGATTTTGGTAGCTGACATTTTATAGTCTAAAAACTTTTTGACCACAAACTTTTTTAAGCATACATCTTTTGTCTTATAATCCTTCTCAAGTGCATCTCACAATTCTTTCGAAGTTGTCATTACACTATATACATTATATAAGTCATCTCTAAAGGACTTAGAATGTAGCCTTTACATAGAAAGTCTACATGTTTTCATGCTTCAATAATCATGAACGTTTCTCTGTCTCACATATCAGCAACAGGCACTGGAGTTTCTTCATTGGTAAATTTCTGCAGACCAAGAGTGGTAAGCCAGAAAAAACCCGTTGCTGCCATCCTTTGAAATTCACACCAAAGAATTTTTTTCGATTTCTCTGCTGGTGGTACAACTGTTCGGATTGGTGCAGCAACAACCACCGTCACATTATTATTTGCCATTTCAGAATCAGAATTTAACTTTTTCTCACCCATCTCCCTATTTTTAAGAATGAAAGAATATGTTTAATTTGAGAAATAACAAAACTGCATATATTTTAATGAATCGAAAAGGCCAAAATTATTAAAGGCTATTGATTCTTTTACCTCTTTTTTTTTATGTATAGTCATACCTTTTCAGTTCTTGTTGAGGAAAAAGAACTATCACGATCTAAAAACCGAATGTGATGGCACTTGTCTTATCCCACAAAGACAGGTCTGCCTAAACAATCTTCGACAAGGTAAATGCAGAAGTAAGAACGGAATAAAGGACTAAACATAACATAATCATGCAGAACTCATAATATAACTTAATCACCCGCAAAATATGGTTTCACGTGTACATGTCCCTAAGTATTACAATAGAGTCAAAAGAAATAGAAGTTTGAATGTCTTCATATTTAGAGTAGATCAAGACTTCTGCCGAGCAGACAAGCAACTACCTCATGAACTCCAAAAGCAAGCCTCAATTGAAAGTGCAAGAGGATGATCAGACGAACCGGGCTCATAATCTACAGAAGTGTAGAAAGCAAGGGAGTGAGTAGCAACAATGGTACTCAACAAGCTTCCCAAGATGACATTAAGTAAAGCAATATCGAACATAAGTACCTTGACACACTATCTGAACCTTCATAAATTACAACCTCTATAAATTACAACCTGCACAGATATCAGAACCAACTCATCCGAACGGTTTGACAAATAATGGAACAACACAATAAAAATAATCCACCATAATTCACATATAAGAATCTCTGTAACATTAATATCATACATCATATTCAATTAACCACGAAAACATTAACTCACTCATAAATGCTAAGAATGATAATGAGGTGAAAATGCAATGCAATGAAAATGCCATATAGAGTGATGCATACATGTTCTGTTAATACACACCCGTTGCACAAGCATCACATGACACATATAGGATATATTCGTTCATGCCACAAGGCACACCCACTGAATATCAAGACGGGATCCGTGTGAGACATATCAGTCCATGCATCCGTCAAAACTATTTTCCATCGGCACAATATCAATCTCTAGAACTATTCTCCATCGACATAATAAACATTAATTGCCGGAATCATATCTCATCGGCATAACTATAAATCACTGAAATCATTTTTCATCGGCATATTAAGAATCCAAATCTTATTATAATGTTTCAGAACTAATGCAAATAAGCACGTTTGCATGAATAATGAGAAGATGACAAATTCTACATCAATACCCAATCCACACACAATCATGACACATCATCAAAAGTGAGTCAATATAATCATTCAAACAACTTGTGGCATATTACACAATATTATATCAACAAATTCATTTTTACCCCCACAAGATCATCACTAAAATTCGAGCAACATTTAACTATAAGTATGATATACGGGGTCCTTCACCATTCCTCATTACTCCCAATCACACAATAAGACATACAAGGTTTACTACACTTAACGAAAGGTCAAAGGGGTCCAATTGCCTTAAAGGAGAATGAAATCAACTTGGTACTTGGGTATTCCCTCTATGATGAGCTTTTGAATCCATAAAATCTAGTCAAATATAGAATCCTCATAAGAAATCAAGAACAACAACACCGAAAAAGCTGACTTTTAGAAATCAAAGTCAAATCGACCCAAAAAGTCATTTTTGAAGGCTAAGTGGTAAATACAATTTTTTTTATATAAAATCAAACAGCCCAAAGGTTTTGGAGCTCATTGGTGAAAACCAAATAAAAAATCGAGTTGAAATCAAGCTTAAACTATCATTTTCCTTAAAATCTAAGTTCAAGAGGAAACTTACAAAGTTTGAAATCAAAATCATTAAGTAGATTATAAAATCATGAATTAATCGATGGATAATGAAGGTGGGAAGTTAAAATCGCTTACCCAATCGATGAATCTTGAAAAATCTCTTTAAAATTGCCCCTACCGAGCTCCCAAGGTCCAACAAAGGTGAAATGCCGATACAACCCCGAAATTGGAAATTAAATTATGCCTAGGCCATTTTACTCATGATGATTGTGACTCACACAATGCGGTCGCGATGAAGAATAATAAGTCAACTTAGTTTTGACCCTCGCGATCGCGACACAAACCAGTTGATCGCAAAGTATGGGACTCATACTTACGTGATTGCAACAAGCCCCACATGATCACTATGTACATCATAAATCTCTTACGTGATCGCAAAAGAGGGCCCTATGATTGCGATGAACATACAACATGCACCAGACGTAGCAACAACAATTCACTAAGACACAAAATTCACCGAATAGACCCTTGAGATTTGTTCGAAATTCCCAGCACACAAATCAGATATTCTAACCAACTAAATTTGAACACAATGAAACCATCAAAACACGGATTCAAAATCTCCATGACTCTGCACCCGTTAAATTGGTAATAAACTAACTTTCACCCTAAAAGACCAAACTGCCCTCGGAACCTTCGAAAATTCAACCAAGACCCTACCTAGTCCTAAATTCCCCATCTAGATCCAACAAAACTGTCAGAATTCTAATTCGAGTGCTCGAACTCCGAATGTTGACCAAAGTTAACTCTTGACCTAAATTCACTTAAACTTTCAAGTCAAGAGCTCAAATCCACACCAAGACTTGAAACTGAAAACGACAACATACCTCAACCAATTTCCACCTTGTGGAGCTGAAGAAACTGGCGAAATTCCATTCCGAGACTTATAGCTCTGAGTGTTGACAAAAATCACTTTTTTACAACTTAAAGGCCTCCAAAACACGAACATTTCCAAAAAAACACAACATTTCGATCCAATCCCAGAACTAATCGCATAAACTAATCAAACATGACCTGGGGCAATCATTGGGAGGGGTAAAACTATATTTTTTTCAAAATTATTAAAAAATGACCTCCAAGGTTATTACAAGAACTTGTCTTGTTCTAGATTATTTTCTGAATTCAGAAAATCAAAAATTCCCTTCCGCAGTTTCACCGAAATTTGCAGCTTATTGTAATTAGAATGGCCAAACTAATCCTCTTCCTTTTGTCTTTCAACGATAACTTATGCCCTTTTTTTTGTTATACATCTAGATAACTTGCCATAGTTGAGAAGAGAAAACATCAACTGTACTTAAAACGCCTTATCAACTGTAATCATTACATAGGTTCAAATATAATATTTTTTGATATTTTAGTAGGGTTTTACCAAAATATCAAAAGTTATGGGTTCATCTCCAAAAGGCTACACATAGTCAAGGTGGAACAAGAAGCATCGACAGGGTCACCAGATATCACATCAAAGGGTTCTACTCTACGAAGCTCATATAATATATACTGATACTACTGAGAAACTCTAATGCTATTGAGTAAACAGGTAAGCGGAGAACTCCAGGAGATAGAAATCTCCACACCATCTCCCTCTAATTTTTTCTTCGGAAAAGAAATGAAGTAGGATAACAGAGATTAAATATTTTCAAGTTTCTTTTCCACCAATTAAGAATAACAAGAAACCAGTGAAACAAGGCAATAATGAGTCTAGCAGTATTGGCAAGAAGATCAGGATTTAGCAAAATAAATAGAAATTACAAAGCATTAGAGCAAGCTTTCTTCCATATCACTATTAGAGGATAAACACACTGTTACTTAGACATGAAGAACTACTAACACCTCCTTGGATATTGACAAGTGCAATCCAAGCTTTTTCTGACAGCTCAAACCGGACAGTTTCAAACATAAAGTTATAGATGTCAAGTATGTTGCGATATTAACAAACGGTAGGGGACCAAAGTCATCAATAAGAAAAGTCAACCGAAGCATGCGGAGAGGATCTTGGATAGCTTGCGAGCTCTTGTGCCATTGTAGCATAATGCGTAGACACATCACTCCCTTGGTATACAGCAACAATGTCAAACTTTTCTAGCACAATTGCATACTTCAGCAAATATTTTACCAATGGCAGCACAAATCCATAAAAGTTAAGGATCTTGATGGTCTTTCAGATATGGAAATGAGCCATTAAAATTATGGGACTCAAACCTCCTGATCTGTTCATCCTCATTTATGTACCTTGACAGCAAGTCCTGTAGGAAAGAATTCAAACCAATTATTTTCCTTAGATGGAAGCAGGAAACCAAGGAGTTGATTGTGGATAAAATAAAAAGATGATGACTTTTCAATACAAGGAACATCTCAGTACATGCCAACAATAAAAAGATGTTTCAAAGCATCTGATCATTTATCCCCTCACATTAAGGTGAGTACTATTACTTGTTAAACATCTTTTACCAACAATTACAAAAAGTTTACTCATATAGTCTATTTGATAGTGACAACATGAATCAAAGCAACAAAAGCTGAACTATTTTATGAAGGAAAATAAATTGAGAGAACAAAAAAGTTCATCTGAGCGTCTAACCACAAAAAAAGAAATAATAAGCACGGAACTACAACAGATTGAACAAAGAGAATCACAAACTTTTGAGACAAGAAAAGCAGATTTTGAACAAAAATATGACTAAAGCCTTTTCACTTTCCTATGGGCTTAAATGGTATCCTCAAATCCTGAACATCATATTAGAAGCATTTGGGTGGACGGCTCTTTGCTTATTGTGAAAGTTCAAGCGAGTTGCAAAACCTTCTTGGGAATATGAACCTATTATTGAAAAGATTAAAGAGTTGACTCATAAGTTGAGGTGACAGAGAAGCCAATTGTGTGGCTAATTCTTTAGTTGGATACAATCACCTAGTGGATGTAGGAAAAAACATTTTCAACTTTGACTCGCTATGAAGAGAAGCTAGAGGGAACTTAAGGATTGACACATGGAAGCTCTTTTCCTTCATAATTGGAAGAAGCCCAAAGCTTATCTCCAATAATGCAACAAGATGAACTTCCTGGTTTGATCCTTCAGTCAGTTCACATGTTACTTATCTCACTTTTTCTCCATTTTAGTTCTTATGGAAGCAACGTACACGGAAGCAGCCCCCACAAATTAGAAGCTATTGTTGAAAGCTCATTAAGTACTCAAGCTAGCTATGCTTCAAATTGCAAATGGGAGTCCTTGTTCTGTTTAAACATTAAGGATTATATCCTACACTTTTGTCAAACATTGAACCTCCTTAATCTTCTCTACGCTTGAGGATAGAACTGATACAAGTCTTACCTTTTTTTTAACTACTAGGAGGGTCTAAATTAAAAAAAAAAATCTGATTTTTTTTTCAAAAGTACTTGAGATGAGAAATGTTAAATATATCATCTTATTCATCCAGTACTAGTTGTTTGAAATGAATAACATGAAGTAACAAATATAAAGGTCTAAAAGAAACTTACTCCAAATTCAACATCGTACCAATCAATGACCAATGTCTCAAGATCCAGTGAGCTCTGCAGAAAACAGCAAATTCCAGGGAAGTCCAACTGTTCAAATTCCACACCAAGTTCTAAGAACTTCCGGCTTGATGGTGGAAACTCCCACCCTGTCAACTCCAAGATGGACAAGCACTTACAAACAAAATAGACAAACCAAAATATGTCAAAACAAGAAAATATGACATAATAAATGAAATGGAAATTGTAGTATAATTCATAAAGATTATCCCAAGTAGTGGCACTATCAATGTTACTATACTGATGATTCACTAGCAAATAAAAAATCCCTAAAAAGGATATGAATTTTGGATAGTGAAGAGTATGAATATACCTCTATGCACCAAGATCCCAAGTTAAGATTCTCCACGTGGATAACGCTGTGAAGAAGTTCCTTAAAAAACCTAAATTCCTTCTCCAAGTTTTGTTCTTCGTCCTCAAAATCAAAATCAAAACAAAGCACCGCAGTCACAAGTGATGCCACATTTATGATGCATATCTCACTGCACAGCCCCAAAATTTGCAGTTTTTGAATGTAAGGGGCTAATAATTCGAGCCCAAGGTCATGATTCTCATTTTTATAGTCGCGTATAATCAACTCTCTCAACTTCATAGATCTTATTTCCAAACGATGTATGCCTGAAAATTTTTCCAATTCCAAGTACTCCAAGTTAGGGCAACCAGATAATACCTTTTCCATGACACCATCTGTGAATCCCATGTAAACAATTGAAAGAGAAACGAGACTACTCCAGTTAACATTGCCAAAAGGGTTCAACCGACAATTCCATAACACCAAATTCCTCAACGACGCAGTTTTATATGCAAATTGAGGAAACTCATATCTTCGGTTATTGGTAAGAAGACCAAGTTCAAGATCTTCAATATCAGCAAGTCTAGTCGCAAAATGAACCCATATATCAACATCTTTAGCATAACGCTCCTCATACTTAAGGCCCCACACTCTGAGTTTCCGAATTTTTTCACAAGACCTCCGATAATAAAGTTCTCTGTGGATAGAAACTAGGTAATCACGAGTGACATTTTCATTGTCACTAATCGGGAAGTTGAAATTGAGTGATGTTGGAACGAATTTCCAGAGAAACTGCCATCGTTCAGACAATACACTAGTTCTCACAACTTCTTTATTGTTCAGCAACATAGAGAGGATGTGAAGTAGGATTGAATCGGGTAGATCGCTGAGTCGGTCTGCTCCCACCATGAGTTCCTGCTGCCTTTCCATGGAGTACAACTACTAGTATGTCTTCAAGGTGGAGGGTTTGTGGAGGTGTTGATTGGGTTAGAGATATCGGGTAAGTGCTATGTAATTTAGGCTGATTTCCCTAAAGCAAATATATAGTTGGCGAAAAAAAACATAAATATGGAACTTTTATAGAACTATTACATATACATGAAAACATTAATTGATTATCAATTATGACATATAAAATATTAACTTCTATAGCATAATATACAGAGAAACAATCTACATAAATTACTAAACAAGGATAATAATTAAAGATCGATTCCATTAAAATGGAAGAAATACTCAAGAATCCATAAATCCTCGTGTTCTTTCCTACAAATTTCATCACTTAAGTTAGTAGATACTACATTTCCTTAAAATGGAACTATAAAGAAACATACACATATTAGATCTATTTCAAACTGACCAAGCTTGCAACACTTGATTAGTAGGAAAATCTCGGTTGTAAATGTAGTTTAGTTGTAAACTCATCATCATGTGAAGAATAAGAAATGTTTAGATTTGGAGAACTTATTCATACATACGGATATGTAATGAACCATTAAATTATTCTCAAAACATTGAGAACAAATTCACATGCTTACAACAAGAAGCAAGAGATAGGCATTACCTCTTTAAACTATTATATCCAAATTGTCATTAAAATTCACATATACTATTTTAATTGACACTTAATTTAATATTTAATTACATACTTGTAACACCAATTCACATACAATATCATTCTAGAGTTACAATTATTTGAAATTAGATAAAGTATTTCTTTTTAGTTATTCAACTCCATTTTCCTATATATTGTGCATATCTTTTTGGTTTGCATTTGCAAAAAGAATTGAGAGATGACATGATGACTGATTTTATTTCCAATATGAAAGTTTTTTTCTATTCTCCTAAAAAAGAACTGTTTTTTTCTCTTCAAAGATTCAACTTATTCATGCTCTCTTCTTTATCAAAAAAAAAAAATCATACTCATGCTCTGTTCTCTTTCAAGCTCTCCATCTCTCATTTTGATTTCTCCCCAAGCTTGGAGCTCTTCAATCGACTTCCAGAGGTATGTTTTATAAGAAGTTGAGCTCCATATTGATCTTATTTTTTTCAAAAAAAAGTCCTTATTTTTTGGGTAATAAAATTTAGGATTTTATGAAGAATAGTTATTACTTCGCAATTTTCTAATAGTGGTATTAGCTTCCTTTGAAGCTCAATCTATTGAAAGTGGCAAATAGTTAATTGGTCGCTAAAATCAATGTTCGAAATCACGATCATCAGTTTCTCAGAGTTGCACTAACGTAAAATTGGGAAATGGAATCATACCAGCTGGTTGTCGAAGAAGTCTTCATCGGAATCACTAGCACGAGATCAGATCGCCAGAATTAAAGACATTTATCGCCACACTTACAATCGCAAATCAACTGACAGACCGATGAGCAGATCATCAAAAAAACAGAGAACATGTCAAACAGGACCCTGCAGAAGATGGTCAAATCACGAGGCAACATAAAATCGTGAGTTCGATCCACATCCCGTACATTAAGAAGATGGTAATCTATTAGACGAGCATACAACCAGACTTCAGATTGTGAAACAGCTCTTGCCCACAGAGTCGATTCATGATGCGAGTCTAAAACCCTAAAAAACAAATGACGGAGGATTTAAAGGCAAACCACAGGCCGTAAGTCAATTAACAGGACTGGATTGCATTGCAAATCACATCAGGGGAATAATTTGATATTTTAGTTTCAACTTTATGGACCATTATAAAGACATATTAGGTTTCTTTTGAAAAGAGTGAGCAATTTAGTTCACTTTTACTTAGATACATGTAGGGGTGGCAATTGGGTGGGTAGGGCCAAACTTGTGCGGGTCATAATGGGTTAAGACAACAATCAGGTCTAAACCCAACCCAATCCAAATTTGCTTGGGTCAAAACGGGTTAGGTAATGGGTTACATAACGGGTCAAAACTCAACCCAATTTTTACTAAGCTTAATTATCTTATTTGTTCTTTTAAACTATTTTATTACCTGATAAAATTGTTTTTTTCTTTATTACGACTATATATAACATATCAAATTAAAAAGGTACTTTGACAAGATCTCTCAAGAGCCGGTTCGGGTTGCATATCAACCCAATTTTTAATGGATTGAAATGGGTTGAGCTAATGAATGAGCGGGTCAATAACCCATCCAAACTTAAACAGATTGGACAGGTTGGATTTGATTGTCGCCCCTAGATACATGCATTGTTTTTTTAACTACTTAGATAATTGCATTGTTTTATTCATGAAATAAGAAAGATGGAAAGAATTTCTTGGGTTAAATTAGATAATTCCTATTCTCAAAATAGGAATTGAGAATAGGAATTCTAACAAATAGGAATAGGAATAGAATTAGAAATAGTATATAAAATCCTACTTAAAAGGATTGTATTGTAGCGTCCTAGTTGGAAAAAGAGTTATATAGTGTCTATAAATAGGGTCTCAATGTTCAATAATATTTCTCACCTATAAAGAAACATAAGTTTTGTAGTATTTTATGTGAGTCAAGTTAGTAGAAGTCCACTTGTTTTCAAAGAAAATTATTGATTATGTACGGAAGTAGAGAGCAGTAAAGCTCTATTCGTCTTCAAGAAAGAATTTGAGTTATTAAGAGTGTTTTCCTCTATGAATTTCCAACAGTAAATACACCTTTTAAGCACAAATGATTTTCAGGAGGCTGGCTCCATCAATGTAGTTACAATTGTCAACTCTAAACCATTAAAATGAGATTAGAATGTCTCACCTTGGACGAGTACATAGGTAACATGTGTTCTGTACACAGATAATGTAGTTGCAACTACTGGTCCTAACCATTAAAAGAAAATTGGTTTATGTCATCTAGTCCAGAAACTTTTCCACATATGATCGTTCTATTATCATATTTCTTCCAATAGATGTCATGCCGACATCAACTATATTTATCTTTATAGTGTTGGACTAGGGAAGGACTCCTTTCTTGGATTAATGGTCCCTTTCTGGACCTCTAAATTACCTAACTTGCTAGCATAATGTTTTCTTCTTTGCAGTATGTAAAGAAGATTCTATTAATATAATTGGCTGAGCACCAAACCCATGCTAGTGAGTACAACAACTATATACAACTCAGGCTACTCCTGAAGGTAACATCTATCACATCAATATCTTCATTAACAGATTTCAGTTAGTTTGCACCAAAAAGCAGTATCAGACACGAATGGCTACTGCTTTTCCTTCAACAGTACACCCATTGTACCTTTCCCACAGCACATAGCAACACACTATCTCAACTGCCATTTTTCTTGAAGAAAATATGCTTGTAAATTGTGCCATGTAGACTAGACTACTTACAGCAGTGAATTGAGGAAATATCTTTTAACACCAAGAAATGTAACTGATCAAATAAGAGAATGGTTACAGGTTACCTAGTGAGAGGTGGTGCAGGAGCTTCTAGATTGTCTCAAAAGGTTTCATTGGGATGCAAGATATCTCTCTCTGAAGGTTCATACCCGTGGCTTGATAACTCAACAGCCTACAAGCAGAAAAGAAAAAAAAAGCCATAATTTCAGTATCCGTTATCTATATTTTGCAGTGATAAATCAAATTGAGAATCAATCCATAAGTAGGTGTACTATAGATTCTATAATTACTTAAAAGAGAATAAGTTATAAGTAGAAATATTGAGGAGAAAGTCATATCAATCTTTGTAACAGTATATAACTGATGCATGAGAACACTATGTTCGCAGGCAAACAGCATATCAACGACATATGGTCCACACAACTCATATCAAAATAGATAATTAAAACAACATTTGATATATTCAATGCAAAATGTTCTTATGTAACTACATGCTCTAAAGAGTTCTATTCGACAACTTGATTCAACTATGACTACTCCTGTGCTCTGAGAAGTATACTGCTCAAGAAATACCGGAGGAGAATATTAATGTGTTGTTGCAGTGAAAAATACATCTATGTAACTTGTGGCAATGACATCTAGTAGTCAATCAGAGATATGCTCCAACCCGGGTTCAAGGAATAGATGCACTGGTTAATTTCGGCAGACTCCATATCCCCACCTATAAAGTGGAAATCAGTTGCTAAAATGCATAAAGATGCTTCATTTTAAGGATGTTCATACTGCGTATATTCAAAATCATGATCCTAAATGATTATACTTGGAACCTTAGAAATAAAGTCCTAAAATATACAAGACATGCCAATGAAATTCAATTTCTCTTCTTGTGAATCTAATTGAAGAAAAACCAAAAAAAAATTGTTCAGCAACTTTGACTAGTTTGAGTTATCGCAAAAGACTCTAGTTATCTCTTGGACATTAACATAGACCTGTGTGGTTCAATTGCTAGCATGAGGACTAAGTTCCCCAGTAAAATACAGATTCGAACTCACAATTCTGTCAATGTTGCATTAACATTCTTACTTCACTATAGGGATTACAAGGAATAATTAGGTAAAATTCAATAAGAAAAGTTACCTTTCATCCTTGTCATGGCAACAACTTCCTGGCTTCAACTTCTGAGGGGGTAAAGGGCACCCAAAAAGTTTTGCCGCCTCATCAGGCTCTGTAACAGGTTGACCTGAGATACGGCGCCATGGGATCATCTCTGTAACAGGTGAGACGTCTTGTCCTGGAGATCTTCTTGATTCAGAAAGAGGTTATACTATAGATTCTGTGGGAATTGAACCAGATTTCATATCAAGGGGATTTACTCTACGAAGCTCATATGATATATTGGATAACCAGTATATTCTGATACTATTGAGAAACTTTAAATGCTATTGAGTAATCCAGGTTAGCACCTTTCTTGGTGAGGAGAACTCCAGAAGAAAGTGATCTCCTCACCAAGAATTTGTCAATCCAATAAGTCAAATATCTCAAAAATCCAGAGCAAATTATGAAAAGAGCCCAAAATCCCCCAAAAGACAATTATTGCAAAATAAAAGAAGAGTAGTCAAGTACTCAAGTAAAACGGAAACAACATAAGAGTCAATTTTGCATAAGAACAATGGCAAACGTACAGCAGACGCTCTCTCCATCCATATTCATATTCCATCATGTTAATAACACAATATACTGTATATAAGTTTCTCAGTTAGTAGCCCTACAAATTATGCATTTCCTTTTGATAGTTCATTTGCTGTCCTAATGCATCTTTTCTTCTTTTGCCAACTTTTAAATATAATATCTGCAATCAATTCACAAAGGCTAACTACATGGCCAGTCAAGAAATATCAAGGAAAAGAACATGAAAACTAACTTGTTAAGATTTAGTAAATTGGCAAAAGGCTCAGTCAGGCATTCAACTGGCTTGAACTCAACTGCCAACAGAGGCAGCTCTAGCAACAATATTTTATAGGCATAATACATAAATGTGCCCAAAGTTGGAGGGCATTAATGTCAGTCGAGGCCAAGTAAAAAGGTATGTTTATGTATTATGCCATATAAAAAAGGTGTTATCTTTTTGAATCAGCCCAAAAGAAAAGAGTCATATATCATGAGAAGAAATGTAATTTCACCCTGGATATTCCAATAAGTCAAGAATTTTGCACATTTTATCCTGGACAAATGGAAATTTTTTATAATAACACTACATTTCTTTAATATTCTTTTTCAATATTGGGCGTAGGTTAAGGGAAAATGTGGGTACAAGGTGGGGAACCCTCACCAACATGGTGAGAGTTCAGGTAGACAATCAACTATCAACTGAGCTACTAATATTCTCCGATAATAACACTACATAGTCATTAGATTCATAACAGAAAATATTTCCTATATTACTTATCACCGCAGACACCTTAAGAAGTGTTCATAACCCAATGACCCAAAATGGTTGCGACTTCATAAATGAGGTTAATGCTAGATACGCGTCCACTAGTAGTCAGTAATCATCAGACATCTGATCTTCATCATACTCCCCACAAGCCTCAAATGAAAATTCAAGACCTGCAAGAGAGTCATGAGGATGCTTCAGATCTTTAATCCGCCCAGAAATTCTATTACTCAAGACTTTGTTGAGGCTAACATATTTGCACAGCCGCAAGTCAAGTGATACAAGATGAGGACAATTATCAAGAATAGCCTCAACGCCTTTAATTGTCATCCTGTTTCCAATGAGTTGAAGGTGGTGCAAGGTAGGCAGGTTTTTAGCAATAGCTAGAGCCTCTTCATTTCTTACATCTTCGTTATCAAAGTAATCACCTGATCCCATATACAATGAGTTATTTAGTTCAAACAACTTCAACCGTGGACAAGAGCGTCCAAGAGCTTCAATGCCTTCTATCGTGATGGTTGTGTGTGTCAAACTCAGCTCCTCTAACAATGGAAATTTTTGAACTACTTCAACCAAGCTCTCACATACCATACCATAGCAACATGCAATGCTAAGTCTTTTCAGTTTTCCTGATCTGGTGGACAAAAGGATACATGAATTAAAGGACAGATTACCAACCACAATCCCTAATAAAAAAAAATTAGAGGAAGTATACCACAGAATGAAACGATTTGCTACCGTACTTAATGAACCAAAATAAAAGAGATAAGAAATATGCCACCTTTGCAAAGCAAAAAAATCCAAATGAAGGAAAACAAACAATACAAACACAATGGAAGCCTAAAATTTGGGGAAAGAAATTACCTTTCAGCTATGTACTCAAGCAACTGACCAGTGGCAAAGTACTGCAAATTGATATCAACGACTTCACCTTGGCTGCGATCAACGGCGTAGCGGCACATTACCTCTAAGTCGTAATCCATGTCAGAGAGGTCTCCGAGGTTCCACATGTCAATGACGCGCCACATTGAAGGATCCTTACACACTCGCCTCCACTTACTGCACACTTTCTCAGCTGTCTCCAGTATCTCTACAGCACCAAGCCTGTGTAGTATATTCGCCCATATACCTTCAGGAAGTTCCATCCATGGCGGCCTTTTCACCATCGGCTGGCTGTTGCTTTTACCTTTTACTTTTCCCTTTCTGTTCATTGTATTTTTCTAGGGTTTGAGTTGGAAATTGGGGCTGTGAAGAAGAAAATGGATGCTTTTGAAGTAAACACAAAACAAAGGAGCCTTTGCCCCTTTTACACCTTGTTTGGATGGATGGTTGTTTAAAATCATGATAAATAGACGGATTTTGGATTGAATTTGGACAGATTAAAAATGAATTGAAGTGTAATCGACTATATAAGTATCATACCATATCATATATTATATATATATATATGAGAATCTTATGTCCGCCTATGTGGCGCCACCACAAACCAAAGTTCTCTTTTAATTTGTGACTTTTATAAAAAGTTCGACTTTAATAAAGAGTTGCGAATTTTATGAAAAGTTGTGACTTTTATGAAAAATCGTGGCTTTTATAAAAGGTTGTGACCTTCCCGAAGGGTTGTAACTTTTCCAAATAATTGTAACCATTCCGATAAGGCACAATAAACATTTATTCACACTACCCTTTGTTGTCTATAAATAGAGGGATTTCCTTTCATTTTAAAACAACGCAAATTCTGGACCTCTTCTTCTTCTTCACAATTAAATATTTGTGTACTTTGTCCATGTTTGAGTGGCTCACTGACACAATTGCTTATGTTACAGATCCTCATATGTATTTTTAGAGTCATTAATTTATGTTTATGTTATTAAGGATAAATAATAAGATGTAATAATTTTCATTTTCTTTTACATTATTAATGTTTGTTACTACGTAATCTTGTAAGATAATATAGTGTTTTAGTTTTAATGACCGATAGGTTTTAAGTATTATTTTATAAATTCCGTGATATTACGCGAGTAATTTTACTAATTTAATAAATATGATCAAACTGATTAAGTCATATATAAATTGAATAAAATGGTTCTAACCCGTATTTATTTTAGGTCAAATATAAATTGGGTAAAATGATTTTAACCCATATTTATTTTAGGTCAATTACGAATTGCGTAAAATGGCTCTAATTTGTATTTATTTTTTTCATTGATTAATTTAGTTTTTCTTACTTGGATTCTTATTTATCTTATTGCCTTTTGTGTTCATAAAACATACTTTAAAAAATATGTTTATGGATTATGATATAATAAATGCATAATTAGACCTTTGTATTCAAATTGGTCAATTCCATCGAACTGTCTTTTCTAAATTTCAGATTCTTTATATCAAAAAATTTCAACAACAAAATAATATAATAAATTACTACTATGATCGAATTGACAAAAAAGTTTAATATCTAGAAGAAAGAAAAACAGACAAACTTCAATTTAGTGATGTAGCAGGAACATAAAAACAAAATGGTAAAAGAAATAAAAGAGAGAAAACACTAAATAAAAATTAATCCAGAAGCAAAAGAATAGCAAAACTGATTTTCTATTTTTTTAAAATGATATGAGAATATCAATTTGGAGTAAATAACAACATATTTAACATTTAATTAATTAAAATGTGTGTTTTTGATTCCTTCTTATAGAAATATCCTTATTTGAGTTGGTTTACCATGACAAAATATGAATTCTCATATTTTTTTCAATATTTGTTTATATTATTATAGGTTAACAATGTATTTCATATTTACCCAACTGAAATACAAGTGATCTAACTTATTAAAATATAAATTAAATAGATCAATTTTATAAATACTGAAATGTCCGGCTCTATTTTAAATCGATAAAAAAGCTAATATTAAAAGGTATAAAGATAAAAATAAATTATAAAAACTTATGTTATAGATACACCATATTATAGACATTCATTACATTTTTATTTTTTTTTAATAAATGTGAAATCAAGCAGACGGCTTGTAAGTAGTGCAACCAACTTTTAAAACATCTTATGGTTGTTTTGTGCAAAACCTTGCAACAACTTTCTTTCTTTTATGAATAGTAAGTCAATTCAATTAATTTGTACAATAGTTTAAAGAAAAATCATATATATATAAAAGAGAACCCTACATGGCGTCACCACAAATCAGGATTCTCTTTTAATTTATTTATTTTCAAAACTAGTCTTCCCCTTTCTTGAAAAGTTGTGACTTTTATGAAAGGTTGCAACTTTTATGAAAAGTTGTGACTTTTATGAAGATTTCCGTTTTTTATGAAAAGTTGTGACTTTTAAGCAAGGTTGTGACCTTTTCGAAGGGTTGTAACTTTTCCAAAGAGTTGTGACCTTTCCGATAAGGCACAATAAACATTTGTTCACACTACCCTTTGTTTTCTATAAATAGAGGGATTTCCTCTCATTTTAAAACAACAAAAATTATGAACTTCTTCTTTTTCTTCTTCTGCACAATTAAATATTCGTGTCATTTGCTCCTGTTGAGTGACTCACTACACCATTGTTTTTGTATCAATACACTGGAGAATAGAATCGTTTTATCCTGAGAGGATCTATTCCTTTAAACCTTGAGTACTAGAGGGGAATTAATAATTTCGCATTCAGTGGGATTGATTTTTTCCTTTCTCTTTCATTCTATTGTTACAGATCCTGGAAGGTTTTTTACAGTCATTAATTTATTCTTATGTTATTAATTGTTGATTTTGAAAACATGTTTTAAACATTATTGTTTATATTTCTGCAAAGTTATTGTTATAAGTATTTGTTAGTATAGATTAAATAACACATGTTAATTGATTATTCACACAAGTTTTCTCTACTGATATTGTTGAAGGTACAGTAAAAAAATTCCTTACAGATCTATACTACCATCTGTTGAAGACAAAATTTAAATTTGGTATGCCATTGTAAAGGACATAAACACTACTAAAAAACTGCTAAAAAACAACGGAAGTAAAAGCGACGGACGACGTTGCTCCAAAAAGCGATGCCACTAGCCACACTGTCCGTCGCTTTTTAATTAAAACAATTTTTTAAAAAAGCGACAGACATGCCCCTTCCGTCGCTTTTTTCACGGATTTTTGCGCCAAATATATATATATATATATATA